TGATCCTTCACTAAACGAATGCCTTTATCCTGGTCCACCCTTACAAAACAAGATGTGGGAGGTGCTCGTGGGGCAGCGAACCTTTCCTGTCGCTCTTACTGGTGATATCATGAAAGCGTTTATCCAGATTCGCATCAGGGAAGCAGAACGAGACGCACTACGATTTCACTGGACGACGACCGGTGGAGATTTGACAACTCTTCGGTTTACGAGAGTCCTAATTGGTCTTTCCTCATCGCCATTTCTTCTTGGGGGAGTCATAGCCTCACACCTAGAACAATGGAGACGCCATCGGCCCGAAGACGTAGCAGAGCTCCAACGGTCCCTCTACGTTGACGACATTATCAGTGGTGGAGAAACTGTGGGACAAGCGAAGCAACGGAAAGAGAAAGCGAATAACATCCTCGAAGACGTGACCTTCAAACTTCACAAGTGGGCTTCGAACGTGAGTGCCCTCGAAGACAATGCAGGAGAGTATGAGGCAGTCGAAGACCAAACTGCTGCCAAAGAGCAGCTTGGCGTAAACCCGAACGAATCAAAGATGCTCGGAATACTATGGAACAAAGTAAAAGATTCGCTGAGCGTCCTGTTTCCAAAGGCTGGAGGCAAGACAACAACAAAAAGAGAAATCCTCAGTAGACTCGCAAAGATACACGACCCGTTGGGCATTGCGTCTCCCCTCACCTTGGAAGGTAAGCTAATCTATCGCGAGACCTGTGACGCCAAGTTACCATGGGATACCGAACTCGAAGGTAGCCTACGAAAGCGATGGTTGTCCTGGTAACAATCAACGCCCTCATCTGTGACGGTACCACGACCGATAGCACCATACCAGGAACACATCAACTAAATTTGTCTTCATGCTTTTGGAGACGCGAGTGGTCAGGGAGTCTCTGCTGCTGTTTTTGGAGTGAGTAAACAAGTTTCGGGTGAAACACAGATGCTCGTCGCAGCCAAATCTCGTCTTGCGAAGAGGGGTCTTACCATTCCCAGGCTAGAACTCATCGTGGGACACATGGCCGTGAATTTAATCACAAATGTCACTAAAGCTATCGGGGAGGACAAAGTTATCGAACAGCACTGTTAGTTGGACAGCACCGTAGCCCTTTACGGGATTGAAGGAGCAGGATAGTATCGGTAATTCGTAGTTATCGGTAATTCACACTTCTGTCGAATGGCATCATGTTCCCACAGATCAGAATCCTGCAGATCTTGGAAGCAGGGGAGGCCAGTTGACGGAGTTGTGGTTGAACGGCCCACGATGGTTAGGAAACCCAGAAAAGTTGCCAGGAAGTCCAATCACCCAACCATCTAAAGAATCACAAGCTGAGGCAAAGATTGTCCGTGAGGTCCTGTGCGCAGCCCAGACAAACGCAGGAAGCAATGATTTGGATCTTGTCCTCGAGAGAAACGAACTGCGTCGAACATTGAGAGTTACTTCGTGGGTGCTACGATTGAACGATTCGTTCACAATTACAGGAACCGAGAGAAACGAAACGGCCCCCTTAGTGTTTTAGAGACAAACGAAGCAAAGCAATGGTGGATCAAACAAGTCCAAGATAAAGCTAGCAATACTCCACAAATCACCCAAACGAAAAAAGACCTCAACCTTAAAGAGAATCCAGACGGCGTGTACCCATTCTATCCGCCAGCTACTGCTACGTTTACAAGAAAGTTGGTCCAGCGAATCCATACCATCACTTTGCATGACGGTGTCGGTTTGACCATGGCTGCAATAAGAGAAACATATTGGATCCTAAAGCTTAGACTGCCCGTGAAAAGAGTGCGTAGAAAATGTTGGGGATGCAAGCGGTTTCGGGCAGTAGCGTTCAGGACGCCTGCACCTAGCTATCTTCCAAAGAATCGAACCGTCGGAGAAACAGCGTTCGAAGTCGTAGGTGTCGATTTCGTCGGCCCAATTCGGTACAAGAAAACCAAGAAGGAAGCAAAAGCCTACCTAGTAATCTTCGCGTGCAGTTTATCTCGAGCCATCTATTTGGAGTTGCTTCCAAATCTAACGACAGAGATTTTCATTCCCTGTTTAAAGAGATTTATTGCTCGACGCGGTACACCTCGTGTGATCTATTCTTACAAAGGCGGGACGTTTGTAATAGCAGCAAAATGGCTTATGAAAGTTTAGAAGGAAGAACAGTTCCATGAGCTTCTCGAAGAGTACGAAATCAAATGGATCTTCAATTTCTCTCGGGCCCCTTGGTGGGGGGGGGGGGGTAAATTCGAAAGGATGATCGGAGTCGTCAAAAGCGCTCTCAGAAAAGTAATCGGGAAGGGAATCCTATATTGGAACGAGCTAAGCGAAGTTTTACTCGATATAGAAACTCAGATAAACAGACGACCGCTGAGTTATGTCGAAGATGATGTGGAGTTACCGGTGTTGACTCCAGCGAGTCTCCTGTTCCAAAGAGCTAACCACTTGCCAGAACTTCGACTGCACGAAGAAGAAGACAAGGATCTGCGAAAGAGACTGAAATTCCTGAGAAAATGCAAAGATCAGCTGTGGAATCGGTAGAGACGAGAGTATCTGACGGCACTACGCGAGCGCCATAGGATGCGTGCAGGAGGTACGAGTCCGAAAGTTTCGAAGGGCGACCTAGTTCTAGTTCAGACAGATGAAAAGAGCCGTGGCAGTTGGCCACTAGCTGTGATTTCAGAGACGTTTCCAGGTAAAGACGGGGTGACGCGAGCCGTGAAGGTGAAAACAGGCAAAGGAGAACTCGAACGTCCGGTACAGCACCTTTATCCCCTTGAGCTGTCCTGCGACGTACGAGAGAAAAGGGAAAAAGGCAAGAAGTTAAACCTGAATGCCCCGACCATCCGTCAACGAAAAGATGCAGCAGTCGCAGCTGATGCAAGAACCAAAGAAACAATGAAGCTCGAACAGTAGGAGACTTAACTTTAGTAGCTCATTTATCCAATTAGTTATGTTCAAAATGTTTTGTTAGGTGACCTGTCCTCCATCGAGACATAAACTTTCCTAAAGTTCATGGGGGGAGGGTGTTGGAGACAGGCCCGGCCATACTGTATAATCAATCATAGTTAATTTAGTTATGACGCATGTCAATAAACAGAGAGTAAAAATAGTGAGAGAGAGAGTGAGACTGTGAGGGAGTGAGCATCTTTAATTTGTGTTAAAAACATTAAAATAAACGTTCATAGTGATCTTTGGTGGATTATCTAACGGAGGCGGAACATTCACCAAATATACAGACGTTCAAGTATTAAATTTTATACGGCGAACGTGAAACACATACGGCAAAGCTGAATTTGCTGCTTTTCTAAATACATCAGAAATAATCTTTTGCTTTCTTACATTACTGCTGAACATCACAAGTTTTATGTGGAACGTTTGTAATTTAGCGAAATTGCCACCCACTTAAAGATAGTGGAGTTAAAACACAAACTTTGTTAGCGATTTGGCGTTTGCCGTAAACGTCAAGCTAAAGGTCTCTAGTGATCATATCTTGTTAAACGGCGAAATAGCAACGATAATATTAAAATAGGACCAGAATCTACATGTATTCAATATATTCTTTCCCCAATTAAATCTAAACTTAATCGAACAGCATCAAACGAACGGTTTAGTTGTTCCTTATGGAGGAATTGCCGTATCATGTGAGAGAAATCAAATGAACATGTCATACGACACGACAAAATATTATTTGAGTTCACCAGACGACGAAGCGCGAGTTTGTGAAATGTTCGTATTCGTCGTACTCTAGTGCTATTTCATAGCAGCAATAACATTCAACAGCCCTTGTTAATAATGCGCAAAGTTCACATTTACACCTAGTAAGTTCTTCAAGGCGCCGGGCATTCGCCCTTTCGAACTCGCGGATCGAAATCCTCGTCAGAGGAAGATGGATCACTACCGTTTTCGGTATCGCTATCGTCGCTATAATATATACGTATATATAAACAGGGTGTATAAAAAAAAATGTCCCAAATTTAAAAATTCCGTTTTTCAGGATATTTTGCAGAATTTGGCAAAATTTTGTGTTCCTAGAGATAGTTAAGACTTATCTGGTATACCTACGCCAAGATTGGTTTTTCATTAACAAAATTATGTTACCGGGAAGGGGGGTTCCTTTCCACTGATATTTAGAAGGCTTGCGCGCGAAAATGTGAAGCTGAAATTGAGATATTATTTAGCTGTCTAAAAGTAAGAAAGCTTTTTAATAAACTGTCAAAGTTTCAGGAAAAATAATGCATACTGGGAGCAACGCGCGACCCCTAAAGGTGACAAATATTTCATTGGGCGCAGTGGATTAAATGCATCGTTGATTTTAGCGTGACCGATCTCATGCAAGGCTGGGCAAATGAATAAATTAAAGCGAGAAACTGAACACAAAAACAAAGCGATTTATTCGTGATGTTAATCCTCAGCATGTCCACCATTTCATTCTAAGCTTGCTGCGGCTTGTCTGAGCATACTAAACACTGAACAGCGAACCATTTGTCTGTCGATTTCAAGTTTGATTTGATTTCATTAGCTACTTTTTCATAAAAAATAGGGAGTTTTGCCTGGTGTTGTCAAAGACGTGGCGGTGCCTTTAAGGACATTGGAAACGAATATATATATATATATATATATATATATATATATATATTTTAATATATAATATATAATATATATACACCCGTTTGCAAAAACGTTGGCCGCAGATAGATATAGATAGATACCCAAAATCTAATTAGAATTGCATATGTTGTGTAATATGATTGAAATCCCATGCAAATGTAATCATATGCAATTCTAATTAGACTTCGAGTATCTATCTATCTGCGGCCAACGTTTTTGCAAATGGGTGTATATATATATATTTATATATTCGTTTCCAATGTCCTTAAAGGCACCGCCACGTCTTTAACAACACCAGGTAAAACTCCCTATTTTTTATGAAAAAGTAGCTAATGAAATCAAATCAAACTTGACATAGCGATTTCATTGCAATACATTATTATTTTTATCTCTTTTCCTGCAGGTTTATGTGGTGATAACCATCTGTATACTCCTGCTACACTTAAAAGTCCTCTTTATCCCCGTTACTTCCCTAACTCTATAGACTGTAACTGGACTATTTCTGACACCAATGGATCAAGGATTCTGTTAACGTTTTCAACTTTTGTGGTAGGTCATAATTAGGTAACTCTTTCAAAGCTTGACCCCACCAGTGGAATAAAACTTCCTTTTAATGTACTGAAATACGGCCAGCGAAGATTTTTTATTCTTGTTTCACTTTTAGTTGGAAAGTCATTCAAGTTGTAAATATGATTACTTGGACGTTTATGATGGTGACTCCTCGTATGCACAAAAACTTGGGCGATATTGTGGAAACGAATCAAAACTAAGTCTGACATCATCTGGATCCCACCTTTTTATTGCGTTCCACTCGGATGGTATTATACAAAAACAAGCATTTGTTTTGAATTTCTCATATACAGTTGGTATGTTTTACTTAGAAATTTAACGCTAATGGCGAACATTGAAAACGCATACATGTAAACTGTCTGATTTTTTAATAATATAGTGTTCGATCATGCGCGCATCGATTATATCATTCACTAAATAGACAAAGCGATGCTGTTTCCATTGTAACCGGATTTATAAATTTTTTCTTATCTAGAGACGAGTCTGCATCTTTTAGCGTTTCAAAGGCCATTACATGTAACTGAACTATTAGTGTGTTGTCTTAATGCCCTTATATATACGATTTACAGGTAGAAACGTTACAATCTGCACGAAAAAGATCGACCTTGGGTTTGTAATGGACAGTTCTGGCAGCATCGGACGTCATAATTTTGAAAAAACCAAATCATTCATAAAATATTTTACGGATTATTTCAAAATTTCTCCAAACGAAACAAGAGTGTCGGTGATAACGTTCGCGACAAGGCCAACATTACATTTTGGATTTTCTCGAGAATTCAGGACCAGACAGGATCTTTATTTGGCAATAGATAAAATCCCATACAACGGAGGGAAAAGGAACACCGCGATGGCTTTATTGAACGCATCTATAGATATGTTTCATACACAGAATGGTGCTAGGATTTCAGGTATTTGATTTTCGAATTATCAATCCTTTTTCATATTTTTTTTTAAATCGCGTGCTACCATTAATATTATATTTAAGCTTTTGTTACAAATATATAGGTTTTAAAAAAAATAATTCCGATACAAATTTCAAATTATTTTTTTCTTTCGCCTGGTAAATATGTTTAGTTTTGATTCGTGTTAAATGTTTTTTTTATTTTATATACGCGAGTTAGGAGATCGTTTACGATAGGTTAACTAATGTTCATTAGTGTTAGTTTCTGGCTTCGTTCTTCTCTTCTCTTCGGATTGCTCGTCCTTTCGAAACCTCGTTTTTTTTTCTCTTCTTGTCTTTGGTTGTTAGTTCTGTAAACGTTGAGCTTCTCTAACGTTTCATATGCTTTTTACTCCGCTATAAAGGTTCGTGTGTTGTGCCCGCCTTTTTATAGTGACGATTGAGGGACGTCTGCTCACGTCATCAACCAGAGTGGGCTGATCCTTATCCAACCAATCAGCGTTGTTAGTTTGAAGTGTGGGTTGGCGTTAGAAGCTCGTTCCAACTATCATATCTTGTTTATATAAGGTGTTTTTGCACTAGTCGAGATGGTCTTTAGCTCTATCGATCAATACTTTCAAATGTTCACAACTTATCAACAACCATTAAAATTATCAAACATTGTTTCTGTGAACTTTATTTTATAACTTAACTACTTATTCATCTATTTTAATCGAATTAAGCTTTCTTTGAGTAATCCTTAAAATGCTCGACCGTGCATTATAAAAAAACACAGTTGATTGACATAAGAGCTTCGCAGCTGCCTCAAGCATGCATATTTTCAAATGTAACAATTAAGCTTGGCAACGACATACGACTGTTGATTCAAGTGCGCACGTTCTGACAGGATGATTAATATTTTCACCTTACTTCTTTATTCAATCCCACGAAATGTCATGCATGAAAGCAAATGTGATTAATGATTGCAAATGGGCCAGAAATTATATTTACTCAGGCGTCTTGTGACAAAACTTAATCACTAATCCCTGTCATGCATTTGCTACTTCTATTTTTACATCTTTTTTTATATGCATATATCTAAACTCAAAAAAGCCTTGCGTAACAATCGTGAATTATTACTACTTTTAATCATAAAATTTCGAGAAACGAGAGGTTCAAAAGAGTGTTTACTATCTACTTCTATTTAAAGATATTGGAATCGCGCCTAGGATTGAACATGATAGAAAATTGAAACGTTCTCTGCATGGTTGTAAATATTTCATTTTTAACAATCTTTCATCTGCCAGACTGCAGCTTGCAACAGGTAGCTAAAAATACAACGACTGACAACAAATACCTACGGTTTACAATAACCATGGATATAGGTAAAAGACTAGAGAGGAAACTCATGGCGTCAGCATTTTAACCTTGTTGAAAATCGTGACGTAACGCACGATATAGCTAGCTGCTTACCTCAAGTCGCGTCAAGTTGATCAGGTCTTCCTGGATTATTAAAACAACTGCTGTGATTGATTTTTATAAAATTATAAATGGGTTTATCTTAAAGTTTATAAAGAGCACAAGAAATATAAAGAAACTTTGACAAAGGCTAACTAAATGTTTTTTATCTACATGGCAAGGACAGCATCAGAAAGGCATTAATGTGCAATAGCTGTGCCCCATAAATGTGTTTTTGAATTTATTTTTGAATCTTGCAGGTTTTATCTTCTTGAACTATTTTGTACTTGTGTATAAAATAAACTTTAATCTCTACATTTCCAAAAGTTAATGTTTTTATTTCTGGTTTCTCTAAAAGTATTATTTGACTATTTTTCTGTTGTTTGAGCATAGTATAAATTATGTTGCAGGACATAACAGGTGAAATTGCATACAAACATTCCACAATTAAAGTACATTGGATTTTTACTATTGAAATGACATCTTTTATTTATAATAAAAATCACACTACAACTTATTTAATACTTACAATCATGGATAATAAAGTCTTTTAACTATCCATGTTACAATTTAATGTAAAACAATTGTCATTACATGTAATAAAATTATTTCCAAATTTAGCCATTTCAACTAGTATGCAAGAAAAATTATAAAAATTATTAACTGATTAATTAAAATTCAAATCAATAAAAACTTGAGATGTAAAAAAGCATGCAAAAACAGCCAATTCAATCTTTTAAACCCTGATTTTAGAGTACTTTCTCTTTCTTACCAACTCTATTTTTCCCCCTCAGGTTATTTGAAAAGTCTAAAAATGCAAAAACAAATTAAAAAACAATAAACATTCTATTTGACATTGTATTGCTTCTAGCTGCTTCAACTCAATGCAGACAATGCTAGCTGCATTTATTTTGCATGTAAATATTACAAATAATTGTCACCCATACAAACATTGCGCATACAACTTTTGCCAAAAAAAACCTCCCCAAAAAAACTATACTATAAAATTTAATTGTCACCAAGCCACATTTTAGCAGAATATGTATCCAGTGTTTTATATAAGTAAACAAACTCAACAAATTTAATATACATAAATTGCGTCGCAAATTTCGGAAAAAACAGACAGTGAAAATAACAAAAAACACACTATTTTGCGACGCGTTTTTCGCAAAAATGAAACAATTATTTTGTAAACAAACAACGTCTAGACGTACCTTGACTATTGATGTGTGGCGTAGGCTAGGTCATATCTGCCGATAAAAAGAGAAAAAACAACAAAATGTTACACAAACCAAACAAAAGGTGAAACTTTGAAAAAATCTAAGGAAATCCAAGTCAAAAACATAAGGAAATCAATGCTACTTACCTATAAATATTCGCCATCCGTGAAATCAGATTTTTCAACAAGGTTTCAGCCATTTTAAAAACATCAAAAAGGCGTTTCGACCAATCAAAATTTCCTAAGCACCCCACGTGACTATATAGTTTCCTATCCAGTGATTTTATTATCCATGCAATAACAAAGCATGCCTAGGTTTGATAATTAATATATGACAGAACATACAAATGAAAAATATCAAATTCGCCTATATTGTGCTACGCCCACAAAATTGATTTTCATAACAGCCTAGTTATTGACAAAGCTAACTACCGACATGGAGCCGGACAATTGATTCGTAGAATACCACACTCACAACTAATACCGACAATAATGCTAAGAATTTACCCGATCAATACTAATGCCGGTTTTTATTGAAGAAATAAAACATTTTACGCAGTTCTTAGGGTTATATGTAGGCACATTTAATATTTTTTATTTGTTTCTGTCGATCATATTGTGATCATCAACCCCTGGCGTGTTTTTGTAATTGTAAAGCGTAGGTATTTTTTTGTCGCCGTAATTTTAACTATACCCGTTGTAGCCTGATGCCTGCAGTCTGTATAAGCCGAAAGTTCGTTACAAATTAAATATTTACAACTACAGAACGTTTCAATTTTTCATTATTTACCTATAGTTTATAGCAAACTTAAAATGGCCAGGCTTTAGTACAAAAGTTCAATTTATTAAATTGTATAAGGGAGCATAATTCTACTATACCATTTGCCACCGGCCATCAAATCCTGTGTCACACATACATCAAATCTAAGAGTTTTGCAAGGGGACGAAAGGGATAAAATATATTAGCGTTCCAACAAAATGCAGAAAAACAGCGTTGTTCAGTAAATGTATTTGTTGCAAATCTTTCGTATTTTTCTTCTTATGCTTGCTAATAATATTTAGGAATAAAGAGAATTTTAATAGTTTTGACTGCTGGCAAAAGCACTCGAGATGTTCATCATCCTTCTCAAAAACTCAAAAACCTGGGTGTCGTAATATTCTCAATTGGAGTTGGTTCAGGAATCGATGTTTTAGAGCTCGAAAAAATGGCTTCCTCTCCTGCAAAAGACCACGTGTTCCTAATCGACAATTTCAATGAGTTCGCTGATTTGGCTCACAATATGTCATTTAATGCTTGCAATGGTATGTTATTAACATCTGTTAATGTAGCTTATATGTTGAGATTCTTTATAAGGATTTTGAACGTCTGGTAACTCAGCAAAGCAACAACACAATGAGACATTTTTGTTGCATATAATTTGGGCTGGAAGCGCTCAAAAAAAGGTCTAGAGGCTCTCATTAACCTACGTTTTTCCTAGAGGAACAGGAGGACCTCTAAGTTGCAGAGGGTGTGAGCCAGTTCTGTGCATGTTATTCAGTGAGTTGAGACCTGATGATCTAGGGACCACCATTAGTTATACTAAGACAGTAATGGCACTCAAAACCCGAGAGAGCATGCAAAAACTATAGGTTTTTCTAGAGGAACAGGTGGACCTCTAGATAACAGGGGACAGGTGGACCCCTGTTCATGTCAGTCAGCTCGACTCAAATATTTTCTGACTGACCCACCGAGTCTCTAGGTCAGGTCATCAGGTCGCGTTTTCATCCAAAATGACCTGTACAAGTGCAGTTCACGTGGTGAGGTGTTGTCCAGAAGGACAGCACTTCCTGCATGCCATTGTTTAATCACTGCAATTCATTACAAGTTACAAAAAGAATATCCATAGACTATCTAGAGATAGCATATGAATGAACACAGCGTATCGGTATAATATTTACATGCGGATGCCACAGCGGCCGGTGTTTCGCTGTGGGGAGGTTGATACGGTTTATTTTTGTAGTTTTTGGTTATTATAATTACTTATGAAACGCAAATATCAGGCGCGGATCCAGCAGGAAATCTGACCGTGTCATACAGGACTTAAAATTTTCCGGTCGGGGGGGAGGGGCGGTTTGCATATAGGAGTAAAAATTTTCCGGTAGGGGGGGGTGGGGCTGGGCGAATGACGAAGGGGCTATGGACCCTCCGAAACAATCCCTGCTCTTTCATAAAACCACAAGACCATTTTCAAAATTTTAATTTTGGGTAAGGTATTCACCGATATTTCTTTCACACTCAACATAACGTGAATTTTGCATACACAAATTATTCACAGACTACAGCGTAAATGCAAATTTGTATCATAGGGCGCTTCCATTAAGCGGCCAAAAAGGTCCGACTGGTCATATTTTAAATTGAAGTAGAGTATTTTGTTAAGAATATAGCGGTGAAACTGCATTTCCCCTGCTAGGCAGATGTAGATAACGATATACTTGAATGCAGAGTTCTTGAAACACTTTAAAATACCAGTAATCTATCTGTACCGAAATACAACTGAACCGGTCTGGCCGTTTTTCCGTATAAAGAAGAGCGCCTATTGTTCGATTTAAAACCTTTTCAGTATTAAGATTTTCAGTATTAGTCTCTTGGGAAATAGCAGTTTAAAAATTGTCGTTGCGATTGTATAACGCGAGCGAACGAAGCCCTTCTTTAGTAATAATTCCATCATGTTGTAGCCTGAAGAGCGATATTTCCCCTGAAATATGTTCGCTTAGATTTGATTTTGAGAAATTTCGACGGATTCATGTATTAATGCATTCGCAGCGGAATGAGCGTTATTCCCGCCCTCGACAACAATTGACACGAATTAACTTAATAAACGTTTATTGCAACGATAAATCGTATACTAATTACAACAAAAAACAACTGGTATTATGCAATTTTAATGCTCGCTCTGTTAAGAACAAAACAACCGAGATTTTTGACTATATATGTGAATCTGAAGCAGATTTGCTCACAATCACTGAGCACTGGTTAACTCCACGTGATGCTGCGATCAGAGCTGAGTTATGTCCGAATGGTTACAAGATGTTCGCTCATCCAAGATTGGATCGTCGAGGAGTAGGGACTGGGTTAATTTATCATGAGTCGCTAAATGTTGAAAATATTGATGCAGGTGCCAGTGTACAGGGTTCCTATGAGTTTTCGGAGTGGATAATTAAGTCACCATCACATAACCTGCGGATAGTTGTTATCTATAGACCACCCTATTCAGCTAATCATCCTGTCTCAACAAGTGTATTTTTTACTGAATTTTCTGAATACTTAGAATCGCTTGTACTCTGCAAGGAACAACTGTTGATAACGGGCGATTTCAATATTCACGTGGATGATGCAAATGACATTGACGGTGAGAGGTTTCTGGATATGTTAACCTCATTTGGACTAAATCAACACGTTAATCAACCTACACATTGCAATGGTCCCACATTGGATCTAATTGTAACACGCATGTCTGAATCTCTTGTTACCAAAATGCCACACGTGGATCATTTTATATCTGATCATACTGCCGTTTTATGCTGGTTAGATTCTGTTAAACCCTGCTTATCTGTAAAAACTGTTAGTTTTAGGAAGCTTAAGTCTGTTGAAAGAGATCACTTTAAACGCGACTTGCTTGCTAGACCACTGTGTACCGGAAAACAAGTAAGCACTATAAATGAATTAAATGCGTACGTAAAAGAATATAATACCACCTAATTGGAAGTTCTCAATCGTCATGCCCCCATACAAACACGTACCAGAGTATTCAGACCCACTGTTCCATGGTATAGCGATGCTATTGATTTAGCTAAGCGGCAACGCAGGAAAGCAGAGCGGAAATGGAGGAAAACAAAATTGACTGTTGATCTGAATGCCTATAAGGCCAAAAAGAATTATATGACTTATCTGATGAACAGAGCTCGTAGTGAATATTACTCTACATTTATGGAAGAGAACACAAGTGGTCAGAGAAAGTTGTTTGGTGCGGCAAAAGGTCTGCTTGGTGTCAAAGATGAACTTTGTTTCCCTGATCATCTTGATAAAACTGTACTTGCAAATGATATTGTTAGATTTTTTACTCGTAAGATGGAATGTTGTCGAAATGACGTTGATTCTGTCTGTATCAATCCATCGAAACAAGACCTCGTACCAGGTGATAAGCCCATATTGAAAACACATCATGTCCTGGATTCTTTCAAGATATTAGGTCATGATGAAGTATACGCGATATTATTTAGCGATCTGCAAAAAAATCATGTGCACTGGACCCCATTCCAACCAATTTGGTCTGCGACTCTCTAGACGTTCTGATGCCAGTGATTTTAAAGATGGTGAATACTTCTCTTTCTACTGCACATTTCCCGGAAGACTGGAAGGAAGCTCTTGTTAAACCACGGCTAAAGAAAGGTTTTCGGGATCCAGCTTATAAGAACTTGCGACCTATTAGTTACTTACAATTTGTCTCTAAAGTCACCGAAAGAGCAGTGTTCGATCAGCTGTATACTCATGTAATTGATAACAATCTATTTCCCTTTTTCCAGTCGGCATACAGGCAGTTTCACAGCACGAAGACAGCCCTGCTATGAGTTGTTAATGATATTCTTTTCAATATGAATCGGAAGCATGTGTCGCTTTTAGTCTTACTGGATTTAAGTGCAGCGTTTGACACTGTGGATCATACCATCCTATTACATCGTTTGGAGACCTCATTTGGTGTCACAGGATCAGCGCTCGATTGGATCTTTTCATATTTGTCTGGTCGCACTCAACGTGTCTCAGTTAACGAAGGATTGTCAGACACTTGCCATGTACCTTACGGTGTTCCTCAGGGCTCTTGTCTAGGCCCATTGCTCTTCACAATTTACGCTAGCAAATTGTTTGACGTTATTAAGATGCATTTACCTGAAGCTCACGCATATGCTGATGACTCCCAGTTATACCTTTCGTTCCAACCAGACAGTTCTTCGAGTGAAATGGAAGCATTGAGTGCAATGGAACAATGCATTAAAACTGTGAGAGCATGGATGGTTATTGACAAGATGAAAATGAATGATGGCAAAACGGAATTTATGACTGTTGGGACTCGCCAACAACTTACGAAAGTTACTGTTGATAGATTAATCGCTGGAAGCTCTAGTATAACTGCAGTGAATGAGGCTAGAAATCTTGGAGTTTGGTTTGATTCGAATATGAATTTTAATGTTCATATTACTAAAACATGTAACTTGGCCTTTTACTTTCTGCATAATATACGACGTATTAGAAAGTACCTCACACACGAGTCTACGCAACAGTTTGTACTTGCTTTGGTCATTGGACACTTGGATTATTGCAATAGCCTCTTTTATGGATTGCCGGCGAACCAAATTAACAAGTTACAGCGTGTTCAAAACGCAGCAGCTAGATTGGTGTCTAACACCCCTCGTTTCTGTCACATCTCTCCTGTCATGTACCGACTGCACTGGTTGCCGGTGAAGTATACAGAATTATTTTTAAGATCATTTTAATTACATTTAAGGCCATGCAAGGCAATGCTCCAAGGTATATTTCAGATTTAGTAAGTTTTAAACAAAATCCCGTTATAGCTTGCGCTCAAATAACGGGTGTTACCTTGGGTACCCTAAAGAGAGAACTAACAAAACTGCAGGAGATAGAGCATTTGCCGCGGCCGCGCCAGCTCTGTGGAACTCATTACCTACCACTCTTAGAACTGAGAACAGTTTGCTTAATTTTAAATCATCTTTAAAAACGTATCTTTTTAAATTAGCATATGAACAGTAGGTGTAGTTTTATCAAATATAGTTTTAGTTATTTGTAAATTAATACTGTACTTATATCTTGGTTGTATTTATCTTATTTCATGTAAAGCGCATTAGATCATATACATATGTATTTTGCGCTGTATAAATTTTAAATATTATTATTAATATTATTCGATTCACTCTGAATCAGCTAGGATGCAGCGAACAGACAAATTTAACGTGTTATGTATAAATTATATGCGAGTTCGAAGTCGAGAAGTGTCGAACTTTATTGCTAATTATGCCGCTTATTGCACAATCAAAAACAGGCCACCGTGTCGCACCGTGGCTCACGTGGCAAAAGCTTGCCCTGTGATTGGTTTGCTACACTGCACCGTGTCCGAACGTTACTATATTTAGTAACAATTGCGCAACAATCTGCACGCTGACCGTGTCAACTAATTGCTGTGATCGCAGCTTCGAATGCACGACTGGCTTCCGAACATACTCGGTACAATTCGGCAAGCTTTCGGCGAATTTTATAGTTCAGCGTTAACTGAACAATCATAGTATGAAACAAGATATATTAATTGGGAATTTGTTCCCACTTTTAGCAGGAATTCGTACTAATATGACAACGATTCGAAAGATATTGCTCACCGGCATTACTTGTTTTAGACATATATTTCCTTAATTTTGGTGTGATTCAAATAATTAATATGTACTTCTAAAATTGTGACCCTCCACGGGAAAACATACATTAACGGTTTGAAAAAACGGGCTGAAATACCGTTTGCTATCCGTGAAAATCAAAAATGGTTGCCGTTTAAAAATTTTAAACGCCCGTTTAAATTTTATTGCTTGGCGTAAACGGTTTGTTCAAAACGTGAAAACGTTTTCATCGATCCGGGAAAACGTTTTGACCGATCCGTGAAAACATTTTGGTACAGCTGTAAAAACGTTTTGCTTTGGCGGTAAAAACGTTTTGGTAAAACCGTGAAAACGTTTTGGTAGAGCCGTGAAAACGTTTAATTAAAACCGTGAAAATGTTTTATTACAGACGTAAACATGCAGGTTTCACCTTTCACCTATATAACCAGTATAACGTTTCCGCTAACGTTCAATTAAATATTTCCACCCAACAGTCGGGACGACCTTGTAAAGTTAATCGTATAAAACTATATAAAATGTAATAAAATGTTTATATATCTGAGGCAAGCAAAATGGGTCGAACACCAAAGTGAGATATCCCTATATATCACTGATTATAACAAATCTAGCTCATGTTTATAATGCTTATTAAAGAAGTATGATTGATTATATGTCTATCTTTCATTAAAGTATTATCACAGAAGCGAAAACACAGCCGCCCTTGATGATTTGCCAACTTGCACTGCCAGAAAACCATCACCTGGGTCAACAGGCCCCAAAATGCTTTTTTCGCAATTATAAATGTACCTACTTCTATAGTGCGTGTGAGAAGACATATAGTTTAAAATTTATTTCAGCAATTAAATTCTATACACATACTAAGCAACATATCTGAGATGCAAATATAATTCAACTAATTATAACGAGAGATATCTGGTATTTGTTATGCAAATACTTATAAAGATATAATAAATACGCACATTCTCGTATATACATTAAGTAATTTGGCATGACTAAACTACTTTCGCGTTTATACCAATGCATTTCACGATTCATTTTGGCAAAAACAACTAATTAATGCGTTATAGGATCGTGTGCGAGTTTCCTGTTATATTTTTTATAATACGCTATATTACACATTTTCACATATTTCAACAAAGTGCATTTAACCAATTTTCGCCAGTGCGTGTCGAAGTTTGAAAATGGGTTATTAAAAAAACACGATCGGTATGATATATATAAACTCGCTTTTTAGACTATAGTTATATATGCTTTCATTTGGAGAACACACGACTACACAGTCATATAATTAATAGCCTTATGCTGTATAATCAGATTATTCTAATCCGTACTTAAAATTGACGCAATATTTATGTATGTTATTGAAAAGATTTGACCTCTGTAGGAAAAATATGAGCTCTATGTCAAATCTTATTTCACTAAAAATTCTTGGTGGTCACAAAATATCTCTAAATATTTCATAATGAAATACTTTATCTCCTTCCATATTTAAGAGCATCAGCCAAAACTTTAACAGTAGAATATCGGCTATATAGCTAGCATGCTATCTGAATAATATAATATAATACGCTATCTGCGCTACACTGCATGAAAAAAAGTTTTTGTTAGTTGAATATGGGATCGAAGGCCTGCGTTCCGTAATCCAAACGTCAAGATTTCCGTGCTGAAAAGCAACTTAATACTCCATCCCGGCGCAAAGGTGCACAATTTTTTAGCCAAAACATATGGCAATTACACATACTGCCCTTATAGAAACAGCGGATCGAACCTTTAAAAAATGCGCACAATTTTTTCTGCAAAGCATATAGCAGTGCAATCGCCCATATAGACACGACAATCCCAAACGCACGCACAGGGGAGTTTATACTCACCATTTTATAACAAAAATTATATTACAAAAAATCAATCGACATCATCTTCGAGACATCTAATTGTGACACAATTTGTGCCCCCTGCCATGGTTGCCAACATGTGCGCCGTCATGGCTCCCAACAGAATTTTGACGTTGCTCGTAATTTTAAAAATTTTTATACTTTTAACTCAAGTTTTAGTGCTCAAATTACATGTAGCGCTTCCCAAGAACATTATCTTGAAGGATTATGTTGGATTACTAGTGGATGGATCGTTCTCAGAAAGATATGAATATATTTCGTCGGTGACATCGCATGTTTTGATATTTCAATCAAGACTTGAATCGAAATTCAAAATTGCGAGAGCTGTTATCAAGTCTACAAACATCTCTCTTCCAAAGAAACCTTTTATAGTTGATTTGACCGTTTGCGTTGTTATTTCGCCAAATCCTGGTCCTGAAAAGTCAAGCGGAGGTGTATTAAATCAACCACGCTCAGTGTTGCTGTCACATGTTGCATCGAACAATGTATATAAACCGTCGTTTCTTCGCTCCTGCCGCATTTCGCCGTTGTCAAAGCACATTAATCAGAACATTTAAATTTACAATCGTCTTGCTTCACTTGGTGTTTTAAAGTCTTTCCGTGGATGTCGCAGTGGGAGAAAAGTTAAAATACGCGAAACAACACGAAGCGACAACCATGTCGACGATGACAACAATAAACGTGAAATTAGCATAATCT